ACTTCTTATCAAACTGTCTGTACTGAGCTATCTTGATTATCACTTCAGAAGTTTTTTTCACTTACTTAATTGGCCTCTCAGAGTTGGTAAGACAACTCCCACCTGTTCATGCTCTCTGTATGTGTGTATATATATCTCCTCAATATGTTTCACGCTATATGCATCCGAAGAAGTGGGCTGTAGCCCACGAAAGCTTATGCTCTAATAAATTTGTTAGTCTCTAAGGTGCCACAAGTACTCCTGTTCTTTTTGACAATTATTGTGTACATTTAGGAGATCAAGAAAACCTCAGTATGATTTTTCTAAAGAAGCACACAGAAACTAAATGAGAATGTCAATTCCACTTTTAAGATAGGAAAGTGTATGTGTTTAAGTTTTTGCTTTTCTGGCATATTGACAGCAGAGTTGTTTTTGTTGCTAATCTTAGGGTACGTCTATACTTACCTCTGGGTTCGGCGGTAAGCAATCGATCTTCTGGGATCGATTTATCGCGTCCTGTCTAGACGCGATAAATCGATCCCGGAAGTGCTTGCCGTCGACGCCTGCCTGCCGTCGTGTGGACCTGCGGTAAGTACCTTGTATTTCGAACTCAGGTACTTCGACTTCAGCTACGCTATTCACGTAGCTGAAGTTGCGTATCTTAGTTCGAACTGGGGGGGTTAGTGTGGACCAGCCCTTAGTAACACAAAGGCCAGGTCTACAGTAGAAACTTTAGCCAGTATAACAATATTGTTTAGGGGTGTGATTTTTGGTGACATTTCTACACTGGCAAAAACTCTACTGTACTGTATCTGCATAAAAGTGCTTTTACTTCACTTGCCAAACTGGTATAGATTATCCTGGTAAAAGCACGGGTTTTTTTACTAGGATAAGCTGTACCTACACTAGGAGGTTTGCCAGTTTAGCTAGCGTAGAGTTGGCTGATTTTTTATCAGATAAGGTGGGGTAAAATAGTTTACCTGAAAAGTGGTTCTTCTGGAGACCTTGGGGCTCTTGGTATACGCTAAAGTGGTGCCAATATCTTCATCAGACATGGTGGGGAAAAGGTCTGGAGAAATTACTCTTATGCAGGTTCTCCTCGTTTTCACACCCTCAGCTCTCTGATCCAGTGAACTCAAATCTCTCCTGAGGGTTTAAACAATGGATCAGAGTGATTAAAGCAAGGATCTATCTGTCCCTCCGCTCGGGCTGCCCCGGGGCGCTGCAGGACACCGGCGTGCGGCGGCTTCCGCCCGCTCCGGGCTGGCGTGGGGGACACGCCGCCCCGGGCAGGTCTGCGCTGCAGGGCGCACACGAGCTCTGACCCACTGAAACCCAGCCCCGGGGCCGCCCCGCCCCCTCCACAGACGGCTCCCACCTCCCGTGGCTGCCTGTCCCGTGCCCGCGCGGGCCCGTCCGAGGGGGGCTCGCTCTAGGCGCTGCGCAGCGGCCGCTCCGCTCCTGCCGTCGCCGTCGCAGCTGCATTGACCGGAGAGGCGGAGACTGAGCCCCAGCCGGCCCGCGCGGCCATACACGTTACCTAGCAACCCACCAACACAGGAAGTGACCGCATAGACCGAGCCCCGGCTACTAGGGGGACAAAGCCCCGCCCCCTCCCTTGCCAGTCGGAAGGGGCTACGGTCACGTGTCTGGGTCTGTTTCCTAGAGTCCAGGAGCTGGACGGTTCTTCCCCCGTCCTGCTTAGAACCGAACTAGAGCCGGGCGGGCGAGGGCTGGTGCGGGGAGGATGCGCGGGGAGTGGGGCAGCCCCAGGGCCCCGCCTCTGCAGCAGATTTGCCGGGTTTGTTTAATAGTCAGTGTCTTCAGGGCTGCAGAGAACGGAGGCGATCCAGACCTGTCAGGCCCTGGGCTGAGTTGTTCAGATGCTGGCCTGTAGCTGAGCAGAATGACTGGCTGCGCCTTTCACACGCTCCATTTTGCATCCCTGTTAAGTCTTAACCATTAACGCTTACCGAATGCCTTTCCTCTTCTCCAAGTGAGTCCTGACACCTCACACGTTCTGCAAGGCCTGTGTGCTCCCACTGCCCGTGCAACTTCATTAAACTAAACTGCAACTGCACTGCAACTTTTGTTAATTACAACGAACCTGCTTATATCTCAAAACCCAAATTTCCAACAGGAGACCCAACGCTTCTATGGAAAAATGCGCAAACAGTTGTCTATATTTGCACTGGAAATTATAACCAGTGTAGGGGCAAAGTGGGTGTTTGGGCATGCAAGTGCCATTTGAACACCTAGCTATTCACATATGTGAATTCCATAATTGTTCACACAACAGCCAACATGTAGTTGCAAATACATTTTTGCCCATGAAACTTGGACTTCTGTTTTTGAACATTTGGTTCTTAAACTGTATGGTCTGCTGGGCACAGGCCTTGCTTGGACCAAACTTCACCCTAATTGATAATTGATACAAGTGGGGGGAGTCAATGGGATTTTGTCAGGATTGACTTTAAGGCAGAACTTAACTCCTCCCTTTCTTAGGGTTGACGGAAAGCATGGGTACATGCAGGGCTGCCCGGGGGGGGGGGCAAGTGGGGCAATTTGCCCCAGGCCCCGGGCCCTGCAGGGGCCCCCACGAGAATATAGTATTCTATAGTATTGCAACTTTTTTTTATGGAAGGGGCCCCGAAAATTGCTTTGCCCTAGGCCCCCTGAATCCTCTGGGGTACATGTAATTGAATTATTTGGGACTCAAACCCCTAAGTATTCAGCTTCCATTTTCTCTAAAACGGTGGCAGTGCAACCTTTGCTAAAAACAATTCATGCCTGAATAAGTGGTCAATTTGCAAAGGAGCATTAATTCTTCTAGGGCTGTCTGTTGTGAGCGTAGCTAATCTACTGAATGAGCAGGTTTATGATTGCAAGCAGGCAAATCCTCAGAACACTGCAGCAATACTTAAGTCATCTATATTTGAAGAAAACTTTGCGCTTCACTTTAAACCATTTAATTTAAAACTTAACAAACACGTGGATACTGGTCATTCTCTTTTTATTAAATCTATTATACTCACATTTTCTCCCTCCAGATTAAATGTTTGTGATTTCTTCTTTCTGTAGAATAAGCCTGCCTTTAATCATCCCAGAGCTTCAGTCATCTTAATAACAAAGAACCTGACATTTTTAATATTGTTAAAAGACATTTGTATTATATTTGCATATATTAATCTTCCCTAAACAAACTGCATATACATATTTTGTAGGAAGAAAATGTGATTAAATTAGGGTTACCATATTTCAACACTGAAAAAAGAGGACACTCCACAGGGGCCCTGGCCCTACCCCAACTCTGCCCCTTCCCCACCCCGGCCCCGCCCCATTCCAACCCTTCCCCAAAGTCCCTGCCCCAACTCTGCCCCCTCCACTGAGCACCCCACATTCCCCCTCCTCCCTCCCGCTCTGATCTTGGTTGGGGGTTGCTAAGTGCTTCCCTGCTCCCCACTTGCCCTGCAGTCTCTGCACCCCCCCTTGCCCTGCAACCTCTGTGACCCCTGCTCCCCACTTGCCCTGCAGCCTCTGCACCGCACCTTGCCCTGCAGCCTCTGTGACCCCTGCTCCCCACTCGCCCTGCAGCCCCTGCACCCCCCCCGCCCCTGCAGCCTCTGCGCCACCTACCTGCCCTGCCCCTGCACCCTCCTGCCGCTGCAGCCTCTATGCCCAGGCCTGCCCTGCTCCTCCTTGCCCTGCAGCCTCTGCGCCCCCCGCCTGCCCTGCTCCTCCTCGCCCTGCAGCCTCTGCACCCCCCGGCCTGCCCTGCTTCCCCGCTCACCCGGCAGCCTCTGCCTGGCGGGGGCTTCGGACGCTCAGCGGCGACCGGGGAGGCGCGGGTCCCTGCAGCCCCGGCACACGCCGCACTCCCCGCCCCGCGCCGCAGCCTCCTTCCTGCCGCCGCTGAGCACGTTCCCCAGCCTGTCTGTCCCCACTGGAAACAGCTCCCGTGTCGCCGGGTTCCGAGCCGCGCTGGGCGACGGGGCCGCAGAAAGGGTCCCCCAGTGGCCGAGGGGTCCCCGCCCGCGAGGGAAGCCCGAGTCGCTGGCTGGACCCGGCCTCCCCGTGGTCCTGCAGGCTCGGCTGGGGCCCGCGGTCCGCCTGGCCTGCGGGGGCAGCAGCGGCCCCTCCGCCGCCTTCTGCGGCTGATCCCCCCCTTCCCCCACCCGAGCTCGCTACAATGTAGCCAGGGCGGCTGGGCTGCGCTGCGGATCCGGCGGGTTGTGCTGGGGCCAGGCGGACCCTGGCTTATGCCTCCCTATTTTCCCGGACATGTCCGGCTTTTTGGAAATTCCCCCCGGACGGGGATTTGAGGACCAAAAAGCCGGACATGTCCGGGGAAATCCGGACGTATGGTAACCCTAGATTAAATAATGAATTGGACAGAACCCACAGCTTTAGTTTTTTTTCTTGTTTATTAATACAGAGTGACGTTTTGAAAGCAACTCTGTTGTGCTAGTGTGTGATTGCCAAGGAAAAGGTTTGGAGCTGAAATGGAACTCTAAAGATTAATATTAGATTTGAACGTATAATACATTGTGAGTAATTTAATCTATGTTTGTGAATTGTCTGAGCAGTTTACAAAGTTGCCAAGTTTAGTTATTTGAAATCATAGAATAATTTTTGGGTGTAGATTACTCATAAACAATGTGTAGGTAATAATGCTTGATACTCAAAACTCTGTTGTTAAATTTTGATTGTTTCTTTTCCTTGAATTAGAATAACAATTGGAATGAGGTTTCTAGTGAAAACAATCATATATACCAGTTCAACATTTGGTTTCTGGCAATGTACTTCTATATTCACTCAAAATGTAATTCTTCTGCAAACATTCCTCTCAGTAAACTAATTTGCTAGAATATTCACAGGAAGTGAACAACAAGGGGCTCAATAAAGTCTAAGTAACTTCCATCTTTAATTCAAATAAATATTTTCAGGTAATTCTGAAGAATTTTCACTGCTCTACTTAATATAATATGATGATAACATGCAGATCTCTGTATCTTATGCCCTGTCTTTTTTGGAATTAGTCCTAATTTTAGTCTTTGATATAGCTGAATGAGCATAAACCCATAGTATAAAGAAGGAAAGCTGCCTTTTGCACCAGTAGAAGCAGGGGTAAATTCTACTGGTGCAAACTGTTGCTTTGCTTGTCTACATTAGAGGTTTACATCAATGCACTTAAGTTGACATGTGAAATCAGGGCTAATTCCAAGTGCAGACGAGGGTGAATAAAAATCAATGATTTTTTTTAAATCAAATCACATTTTTTTAATGTAAATAGGATTTTTTTGATAAAATGCTTTTTGAGGAAAAAACCTATCTAAAGATAGTTTTAATTAAGATACATTATAACTCAAAGAGATCTCATCATGGAATAGGGATTACAAAATCTAATTCTGTAGTATGAGACAATATATTCATGTAATGTTTAAGAAAGGTTTTGTAAATGAGTTCCAATAGTTCATGGATTAGGGATCCAATTTTATGGGGCTCCATGGGCTTCTGCATAGATTATTTAGGTTAATCTTTCTATCTACCCAATGGGACTCAGTACTCAGTCTAGAAGATACCATCAGAGATGCTTAGTTTTGCAGTTCTCAAACTGTGGATTTGTCTCTCCAGAGATAACATGCTTGTTAACAGCAAACATGTTTTAGATAAATACATAAATAAATAATATATAGAGGTGAGAAATAACAGATTTCAACCCTATTGTCCCTCTCTGTATCTTATGCCCTTAAATTCAATGAATAGAAGATTGTTGGGGGCGGAATAGATCTGGACAAGGAGAAGAAGTCTGGAGATAAATGTGAGAAGGAAGGGACAGGCAGTAGAAACAAAAGTGAAACTGTTTGAGCAGCATATTCCAGAAGTCTTGAAGTCTTTCGGAGTGTGGCCTTCACTGATTTGAGAGCTATCTCTATCTCTCACTAGAAGGGAAAATCTATAATGGCAACAGGCCATAAAAGAGACCCAGTTTGGGAATATTTTAATGAAGTTCCTCTACCTGTGGGTAAGACAGGCATGCGTGCAAAATGCAAACAATGCAACAAAGAAATACAAAGCCTGATTGCCCAAATGAAACAACATCATGAGACGTGTTCCTTCTCAGGAGGAAGCTGCATTGAAGATGATGAAAGGAACATGTCTGAACATGTAGGATCTTCAGGTTGGTAAACTTTTTTATTTCATACTTCTTTCTTAAGGGCTGTCTGTCTTCCTTCTGGACTATTCTTGAATTCTCATGTTTGAGCAAAAAATATAGTTGTTACTCTATGATACTATCATTTTAGATGCAGTTGTGATAAAAAATAAATAGCTGAAATAGGCAGATCTTCCTTTTACAATTTCACCTTTAAAGTAGTCCTGAGTGTCAGTGAATGCAATGAGTAATACTAAATGAGCAGTATGGTAATAGTAATTAAATAACTTCATTGTTATTGTTATTTTGTTTAGGAGAATCCAGGATTCTG